CAGAACCCGCTTTTTTTCCCACCCTCCAGAACGTTAAAGCAAAGGGTAAATTTGCTACAGGAAATGCAAACAGCTGGAAGGGGCTGGAGTGCAACGGGAAGGGTCTGGGGGAGACACAGGGCCAGGCTTTGGGAGGGTTCGGAGGCGATGGTGGGATGGGGGCAGCCGAGGTGACCCCACTGCTCCCGCCTGGCCCCTTCCCCTTCCTCTTCTCACCACCATCCTCACCCACTGGGGGCTCCCTGATGACCCCACGGTTTCCCCACCCCACCTGGCACCCCGCTCCCTGCCCTGCTCCCATCCAACGTCCCCATCCCTGTCCACACCTCCTGCTCCGTGCCAGCGGCGCTCCGGTGCCACAGGCAGCCCTGGGGCCACCCTGACCCCGCACAGGGCACTGCCCCGGGCACCTCCATGTCCCCACAGTCCCACCCCCACCCATGCTGCTCCTGACACAGCTCCTTCTGCCTCCAGTCGAGCCCCAGCACCAGGAGGGACGGGACAGCCCAGGCCAGGCGGGTGCGAAAAGCAGGGTCAGGGCTCAGGGAGGGGCAGAGGCACCCGAGGAGCTCAGATGGACCATCCAAGCCTGGTGGAAGGTGGAAGCACCATCCGTGGTGGGGACTGGCTGGTCTCCACCCAGAGAGCCCCTTCACAGACCTTTGGGAGGCGTCCCAGGAGTCCGAACGCTCCCCAGGGATGCCCCGGCAGGGAGGTGCCCGCTGTGCCAGTGGCCGCTGCCACGGATGTCCCTGCCCGGCTGCCCGCGCGGGCCTGGCGCCCAGGACACGGCGGATCTGTCCCTGTGTCCACTGCCAGCCCGAGGGCTCCTCGGGGACCACCTCCAGCACCTCCACGTCTCCTCGGGCCGGGGCAGAGCAGCCGGTGCTGTCGGCGCCGCATCCCCCACGCGGCCGTGCCGGGTGGTCTCGCCGTCGGAGGGAGGGAAGGGGGTCCAGGAGAACCAAAAACGATGGCGAGAGGTTCGGTGTCGTGTCAGGGGGGGCTAAAACGTGGCCCCGTGGAACTTGATGGCGCCGGCAGCAGCCAGGGCTTGAGCTGGAGGGGCGGGAGAGCGGGGTTGAGTGGGGCAGTGGGAGGTGGTGAGGCAGCCCCC